AGCTACAAGAATGATAGAAGTTAACAGTGGAGAACTACTGGGAGTCTATGGGGAAAATAACCCTGTAAGTCATTTCAATATATGACAACCCAATTATAAAGCCATCAGACAAGGGGTTATATTGGCTACTTTGTAGCACAATGATTCTGCTCCAGCAAAAGATGAAGGACATGAAATACTATTACTGCTACTTGAGTCAACTGATTTATCAATGGTTCGGCTAACTATATGAAAATACATTGTTATATGTGATTAAAATAATCAGCCAACTATAATTGCTAAATACATCGAATTTTCGACAGCCAGTGTGAACTGGGAATTAAGTTCAGTGATCCTAGCATCAATAGATCAATTGCTTTCACCGACAAGTATACCTGAGTTATTATGTTGCATTTCGGCCCCTTTTTGACAGATTCCGACAGTAGTTCGTTTCTAGAACCAAGAAACAGAATCATAACCAGGGTACAAAGCGACGGAATATGTTTTTTGATAGAATTATTCGACAGAATACAAGCCAATCCTTACTAACTATATATGTTCATGGCTTGCTTGTACACTGGCATGTATGTATGTCTCAGTAATATTTCACTTCTAATCACTTCCACAGACGTTCGCCTCGATTGGTTTCACAGTAAATAACAAGTAAACTGGTAGTGTCGAACTTTGTCTAACCACGGCTTACATAAGCACGTTAATGTGGTATTGGTTAGTGAAACAAATACACGCGGCGTTTAAACGTTTTGGCGGGGACCAGAAAATTCGCACGAAATCATGTCAAGTCACCTCGTTTGGGATCTAATAAAACACAACCACTGTTTCTTAATGAAACGTGGCCGCGAACGTTTTAGTCGTGATCCACTCAACTTAAAGGGAAAGAACTGCTTCAGGTATTGTGGTCTTGTTCACAAGAAGGCAATCGGGATCAAGGAGGAGAAATATGGAAAGGGTGTTGTAGTCATCACAAAGAATGTTGCGAAAGACCATAAACCAGCCAAAGCAGTTACACGAACAAAGTTTGTGCACGGACGTAGGCCTACATTGAAAAAAATCAGGAACTTGACATGCAAGCAAAAATACAGAAGAGAACTAAAGATGGTAAGCGTATTTATATTCTAAGTGCTGTTTCTTTCAGCTGGCGCTACGCCGAGCTAGTGCGTTGATGCTTAACATGAAGCCTGTTGCACAATCAGCCCCGAAAACCAAGAAGACATAGGTTTTTATTGTCTTGGTAAAATAAAATTTGTAAACACTTCATTGTACTATGACTAAGCTGGGAATTGGTAATTACTTGGTCAATACCTCCGTGTTCTGTCGCTTGGTTGCTCAAAAGGGCAGTACCCATGTGATTGGCAGTAACAAGATACTAAGTGTGGTAGCTTGAAGTGCTTTTTGTGCCATATCGTATCTGTGGCCTATGAACGAATTCTAGAAAATGTTTGTAAATCGGACTGAACGCACTCATATGAACTAGCAATTTATTCACATTGAGGTTCGGCTCTCTTGGGATTGATATAAACCACTGTTAAGTTTAAACATGTATTGTTATTTTTATATTTTTACCTAAGTTCTGTATTTCATCAGCGTACCGAAAACAACAGCTGCTTTTATCATCTCAGGGTACTGTAATAATTGTGCACATAAGTGGTATTATTGTAATGAGGAGACCGAAATTAAGATAAGTCCGACGATTAGAGCATTTCGGTACGCGTCGCCTTCGCCTATCGTTAACATGCCAGAGTCTACATCTTATAAGTTGGATTTCTCACTATCGAGTAGGGTCTCGGAGTGATTTACGACAAGTTCAGTGCAGCTTAGAAGCTTGCCCATATCCTTTGGAAGCACTTTCAAGATTTCACAAGAAGCCTATGCAGTAACTGCAGGGTGCCGTCACACTTAGTTTTGCAACGTCGTTTGTGTACAACATGATTCCTGATTTTCGAGGTATAAATTAGTCATGTATATAATGCTTCATGAACCTGGCAATTCCAGGTTATCGCCCAGATATTGGGAGCGGCTTATCTAGTACAAGATTAGGATAAGTTTTAACTGCGATCTCACTTATTTTCTCACTTGGAGTTTATAATACGTATCGAACGACAAATCTACACAAGCTGTCAGTGTTGTTTCGCATAATATTTCTCGGACGACAGAGGTTGTATCCAGTCAGTACCAGTTAATTTGACTGACAGTGAACTGACATAGTGTGCAGTCATTTCTGCTAAACTCAGGATAAGATATCTATCACTTTGCTTAACAAGCGATAGACTATTAGACCTATCTGAGAATATGTAGTACATCTCAGCTCCTACCGCAAACAACATCGAGACTGGGATTATATAGCATGCGCGAAATAGGTCGTAGCTTGATAGAGACTTAATAACTATTTAGATGTACGTTGAGGATGTGTCAATTCCTCGTAAGAAGAGGCATTCGGGGCAGGACGTGTCAACCAGCTAAAAGGATCCGTTCACCAAACTGATTTACTTAGTAAAATTGAGCGGAACGATATATCTCATCTAGTCTTCCTACCATATTAGGGTAATGGGGAAACTGTTTGTACTCTTCCAGGTTTTCTAGTGCCACGATCAATTTCCAGTCGTTTGTTTTGGATAGTTTCTCATTATACATCCTCTTTAGTTAGTTACGATCAATGATAGATGACCCGACACGAAATATATCGCTCCACTTACCCATACTCTACGTCTAGTATGAATTACTTTGACACTTTTACTCATTTAGATTCGTTCCAAAGTGTTGATGGGAGTGTTCCTGACTTGTAGCAATACCTTTGTCAGTCACTCACAACATAGAACTTCGCACGTGCGTACATCAGTTAAAGTTGCCATACCACATTAGCACAGAGATGCAGTTGTCGATTACAAATCCCATAGTGGCAGAAGTAGTAAAAGTATCAGCAGTAATCCGAAAGACTAGGGTTTGAAGATGTTATTCAAGGAGTATAATACAGTGAAATAAATTTGGAAAGAGAAAAAGACAGATATGGAAAATTCAGAAGATTGGAATTTGGTAGAACACAAAGATTGGATGCATCTTTGTCATTGTAAACGATGTTGAGCCATGTCATTCAAGGTCTATAACCATCGGTGGTTATCATCTCGTGGATGCCAACCAGGTAGTCTACACCTACCAACATGGCTCAGTTCACTTGTCATTGACTTCATGGACTTGTGCCACGTTTTGTTCTGGCCACCTCTAGCTTTCTTCCAACCTACTCCTCTATCATGAAACATCGCACATCGGGACAGTCGGTAGTTGGTTGGGCATACGTAACACACGTCCAGCCATCTCAACTGACCGAGTTTCACTACTTCATCAATCGATTCGCCACCCTTACCTAGTACCCGTTTCCTAACATCTGCATTGCTTACTCTGTGGTCCCAGGATATACGAGCAATGCTTCGAAGACAGCTGTGATCGAATACTAGTAGCCTACGAATATCCTCTACTCTTACCGGCCATGTTTCACTGCCATAAAGTAGGACGGAGCGAACTGCTGCACAGTGAACCCGTCCTTTGGTTGCTAGACGGATATCTCGCCTACGCCATAAGTGACACAAGTTGGTGAAAGCTAGACGAGCCTTCTGTATCCGTGCTGAGGTCTCGTCACACACCAGACCACAAGGGCTGATGAGGCTCCCAAGATGGGTAAAGCGGTCAACACGCTCAACTACTTTGCTTCCTATCATTAGTTCAGGTGCCGACGCAACCCAATCCTGAAGTAGCACTTTGCACTTCGAGGTGGAGAATCGCATCCCGAACATGCCTGCATAGTTGCATATAGTGGTCAGAAGACTGCATTTTGTCAGCGTCTTCATCGAATAGAACTATGTCATGGGTATATCCTAAGTCAACAAGTGAATCTCCTGGTAAAAGTTCAACTCCTGGAGGTTTAGCTGATGAAAGTGTTTTCTCTAGAAGCATGTCAACGACAAAGTTAAACAAGAATGTCGAGAGTGGATAGCCCTGACGAACACCACTTGAGGTAATCGATTCTGATGACAGTTTGCCATAGGCTCTAACTCGATCAGTTGTGTTGGAGTAGAGAGCCTTTTTAAGGTTGATGTACTTTCGTACTCTTTTCAGTGACAAACACTGCCATAGAACCTCCGCTTAGTGGTAACCGGTAGGTTGTACTGGTTGGTTTTCGAAAAAATCGTAATTGACACCGAGTCTACTATGGTGCAATAAGTATTTAGCACGGTGACTGCTCCACACACGATTTACCGAACCCAGCACCTGCCAGATCCATTGAATCCTTCGGTTTCGTAAATAATACTACATTATTTTATTCCAGATCGTACTTCAGCGGTATAATCCATACACAACTGAGTTGTTTCGCATCATTGTGAACGGTTAGGGAACTAAATCTCTCATTTGAACATAGACATGCGTGATCTTAAATGACAACTTCCAAGTAATGACTCCAATTAGTGGACGCACACAAAAAAATACGATGCAAGGTAAATTACCTAAGCAAACAAAATCCATATAACTATAGACTATCCACTAAGTTACGGACAAACATAAACGAATATAATCGGAAGTATCTTTATTTCAGGATAAAGATTTCGGAAGTGTAGTGCCCTCTCAAATCGATGCTTTGGTCGTGAGATTTTCATTATCCATCTAGACAACGTCAGCATATACTTTGAAATAATCATCCCGTTAAATGAACATAAAATACACAGATACGTCGACTGTTAACAATAAAGCTGACGTTAACATGCCTAGTTACATTATGGTCAACAAATCATCACATCCATTAGTTGGAGATCATTCTGGAAACTGATTCTCCTTGTTTGTTTGTTTTAAAAATCCTCATTACTTTCAACAAAATAAAGGCACAGTATGACTTGATGAAATACTTTAATGATTATAGTTATCAGGAAAATAGGTGTGCAAGTGAATGAGTTGAAACATGACAGTCTATATCAAAAATAACAAATACTCAAGTTGATAATAGAAACTATCAATATTTATCAGTTCAACTTATCAATTAGGTTGAAAAGTTTGGTAAAATCTTTTTGGACGCAATATTGTTGTTGATTTACAGAATTGGTTCTTATGAGCAACTTTGGAAGCCAATGATTTTTGACTCGATGAAAACGCTCAGACGGATCAACATTTTGTAAAAGTCGACTAATCCAGTATAAAAGACGTCCACTGGCAAATAACATCCAAAGTGGATAAAACCTTATGAAAGGATTTCTTAAATGTGAAGTATCAAATTCATTACTATTTGAGTTATAAAACGGACAAAGCACCTCAATCAGTGCAACTAAATGTTGTAATCCAGAGGCCATACTTTGTAATTCATTAAGCTGATGGACGTCCTCGATACAAAAGGATGGTGCATTGCCCTGGTAATAAACTGATTCGGCCGAATCAGCACACTTATCAAGATGTGTGCGAATAGAGCTGACATGATCTCCAGCAGCAGCAGCAGCAGCAGCAGCAGCAGCAGCATCACGATCTCTACAAACAAATTCACAATTTGAATTGATAGCGATTGCACAACATGACAACGCAAGTCCAACCGGTGATGTCTGAATGTTTTTAGCTTTCTTCTGAGCATGAGACGAAGATCTGAACCACAGAACTAATAAAATAGCCAAACCTTGCATTTCAACATGCTTAAAATCTTTCACCAAATTCACATTCAAGAATTCCGAGGAAAAAGATAAGAATGAAAATTCTGGTGTTTTAGCACAATGGGGTTTCAGAGGATTTACTGAAACCAATGTCTTCGTCAAATGACCATTCAAACTTCGTCTATACTCAGTGATATACTCATCCTCCATTCCACATAACTTCCCATTGGTGCCTAAGTGATTTTCAAGACCAAGTATGAGTCCATTTAAAATACTTCTCATCTTGGACATACATTCATCAAGTGAATTAGGAATATTTATGTCCTCCATTACTAGACGATTAATAACACCATTTCGTACATACATGCAGTCCATTAAGGTTGGCATTAATTCCAAAAATTTAAATCGCTTAATCAATTCTTTCGGCCAACGGTAAAATATACTGTCTTTATCATCATTATCATCATCTTTATTATCATCCAATTTAAGTTTAGAAAGTTTGGAAAGATCTTCACAGTACGAACCACAAGCATGAAGCGAAACTGCTCTCAAAAACTCTCTGTAGATACAAGATATATCTATTGGAATATTTGGATTTTCTTCAACACCAGTGCTATTTCCTAAGTCGGTGACAATAGATTTGTAATATACGTTAATGTACGTAGCTCACTCAGTCGACAAATAGCATGTTTCCAATGAAAACTACAGAAAATCAGATTAGTGGTCACAAGCAATTTTTAATATTCTTATTAACAACTCACCTGACTATACAGTATAACACCAAACTTCAACGTACAGTTATCTAAAAACCTCAACAGGTTTGCTGTGAATTCTTATGAAGTTTTCAGTTGACTTCATTGTTTGTGAACGCAAAACCAATTGACTGTCTCATTAGTCGATTAATGACTGTTTAGAATTCTAACTCTCTATATTATGTAATCTCAAGTTAGTAACTAGTTTGTTAATGCATTCCACATGTTGTTCTACTTCCAGAACCTTAATTCCATCTGTTTGCAAAGCAAACAGCGATATTGTACAATAAATATTTATTTTGTATTGAGTTAGTATTCTACGGAATGGGGCTGCTAACGCCATGCCCAACACTCCTCCATTATCCGGGTTTGGGACCGGCAGTAGCCCCTGGAGGGGCTACAGGTGCAGTTATTGAATCAACATATATGCATATAATTCTTAGTCATATTTTATTTAATTGTACTAACTACTCAAGATATTCCATCTGATAAGTCTTCTTTCCTATGTAATGCTACTACTTTTATTTTCATTGGTCTCCATCCAACTTAATTTCTAGTGTAATGAACGAGAACACACAAATGGGGACAATCGAATGTATTTGAACACAAAATTATAGAATCCCTTCGTAAAATCTGATATCTAAACCCATTAACCTAATAACAAGGTCAAGTGTTCGTGCGTGAGACCAAAAGTCCTCGATCCAAATCCCATGTGAGGGATCGCGAATACGCACTCTCGAGGAATCCAACAATAGGACGAAACTATACATCCACTTTAGTCAGTCATCAATAATGATGTATGACCTGACACAAAGCACATCTCTCCGCTTACCCACACTCTATGTCTGGTATGCATTACTTTGACACTTTTACTCATTTAGCTTCGTTCCAAAATGTTGATGGGAGTGTTACTGACTTGTAGGAATACCTTTGTCATCCACTTAGCGTTAATCGTTAGGTCGTACTGGTTGATTTTTGAGAAACGTAGTTAACACTGAGTCTATTGTGGTGCAAGTATTTAGAACGGTGACTGCTCCACACACGATTTACCGAACCCAGCACCTGCCAGATCCATTGAATCCTTCGGTTTCGCACATAATACTACACTAATTTATTTCAGATCGTACTTCAGTGGTATAATCCATACAAAACTGAGTTGTATCGTAGTATTGTGAACGGTTATGGAACTAAATCTCTCATTTGAACATAGACATGCGTGATCTTAAATGACAACTTCCAAGTAATGACTCCAATTAGTGAACACACACAAAATAACTCTCCCGTCCTTAAACTTCTCATACTACAAACTTCCACTTCCAACGATTAGAATGACTATAAAACAACGTAGTGTAGAAGTTGGAGTTGCACACGACATTAAACACCTACTTACAACTCACTCGTTGGAAAGTTCTATCCCTTTATTTTCATTTGTTATTGAGGTTTCCTTTCAACTAGCGTCTGAATGCTTATGCACACAGGACGAACAACTGTGGTAGAATACTTCACATGAAACCAAACGAGTATTCGTGACATCAACGAGTTCCAGCTATATTTCATTTCGAGATTACTCGCAACCTATAATCGTATCAAACATAACTTGAACAAAATACGATGCAAGGTAAATTACCTAAGCAAACAAAATCCATATAACTCTATACTATCCACTAATTTAGGAACAAACATAAACGAATATAATCAGAAGTATTTCCAGTTCAGGATAAAGATTTCGGAGTTGTATTACCCTCTCAAACCGATGCTTTGGTCGTGAAACTTTCATTATCCATCTAGACAACGTCAGAATATACTTCGAAATAATCATCATCTAGTTAAAGGAACACAAAATACTGTTAACAATAAAGTTGACGTTAACATGCCTAGTCACACTATGAACAACAAATCATCATATCCGAGTAGTTGGGGAAGTAGTTTCCGCAGAATGTGAAGTAGATCTTTATGGAAACTAATTCTCCTTGTTTGTTTGAAACATCCTCATTACTTTCAACAAAATAAAGACACAGTATGACTTGATGAAATACTTTAATGATTATAGTTATTAGAAAAATAGGTGTGCAAGTGAATGAATTAGAAGTTTAAACCCAAAATGCCATGCAAGTATTATGTATGCTTATACCAATTAAACATGACAGTCTATCAAAAATAACAAATACTCAAGTTGATAATAGAAACTATCAATATTATCAGTTCAACTTATCAATTAGGTTGAAAAGTTTGGTAAAATCTTTTTGGACGCAATATTGTTGTTGATTTACAGAATTGGTTCTTATGAGCAACTTTGGAAGCCAATGATTTTTGACTCGATGAAAACGCTCAGACGGATCAACATTTTGTAAAAGTCGACTAATCCAGTATAAAAGACGTCCACTGGCAAATAACATCCAAAGTGGATAAAACCTTATGAAAGGATTTCTTAAATGTGAAGTATCAAATTCATTACTATTTGAGTTATAAAACGGACAAAGCACCTCAATCAGTGCAACTAAATGTTGTAATCCAGAGGCCATACTTTGTAATTCATTAAGCTGATGGACGTCCTCGATACAAAAGGATGGTGCATTGCCCTGGTAATAAACTGATTCGGCCGAATCAGCACACTTATCAAGATGTGTGCGAATAGAGCTGACATGATCTCCAGCAGCAGCAGCAGCAGCAGCAGCAGCAGCAGCATCACGATCTCTACAAACAAATTCACAATTTGAATTGATAGCGATTGCACAACATGACAACGCAAGTCCAACCGGTGATGTCTGAATGTTTTTAGCTTTCTTCTGAGCATGAGACGAAGATCTGAACCACAGAACTAATAAAATAGCCAAACCTTGCATTTCAACATGCTTAAAATCTTTCACCAAATTCACATTCAAGAATTCCGAGAAAAAAGATAAGAATGAAAATTCTGGTGTTTTAGCACAATGGGGTTTCAGAGGATTTACTGAAACCAATGTCTTCGTCAAATGACCATTCAAACTTCGTCTATACTCAGTGATATACTCATCCTCCATTCCACATAACTTCCCATTGGTGCCTAAGTGATTTTCAAGACCAAGTATGAGTCCATTTAAAATACTTCTCATCTTCGACATACATTCATCAAGTGAATTAGGAATATTTATGTCCTCCATTACTAGACGATTAATAACACCATTTTGTACATACATGCAGTCCATTAAGGTTGGCATTAATTCCAAAAATTTAAATCGCTTAATCAATTCTTTCGGCCAACGGTAAAATATACTGTCTTTATCATCATTATCATCATCTTTATTATCATCCAATTTAAGTTTAGAACGTTTGGAAAGATCTTCACAGTACGAACCACAAGGAGTTTTGGGGTCCTGAATGTTCGAACTTCCCAGCTTGTTTGACGAGTCACGATGTTCAGTTGAAAAACCTAATTCATGAGCCAGCTTTTCGCCTGAACTACTTAGAAGATAATCAGAAATCCCCAAACGGATTTCCTTCTCAATACCATCCCTTTCCTTTCGGCTGTAAAGTGACAGAATTGATGACAATGGTTGTTCTATATCATGGAAACGTAACAGCCAGTTAAATATAGCGTCGATATGTCTTTGATAGTGGGACCTACCCTGCAAAACAGAAGTGCGCATTAGTGAATCGATGACAGTTGGAAGGCGAATATTTGATATCATGTCATTACCAACGAGGATGGCAAATAGTGGTAACATAGGATACTTGAGTTTATAAAACGGTCCTGAATTATTAAGAATTGTACACGATATAAAATAACATGAAGCACCATCAAGTTGACAAATCGAACAAGGAGGGAATCTCTCCTTACAATCAAGCGAAATAGATGAAAATGGAATAAAACTGTAGACTTGATTATGATCATTTGGTCGATAAATGAAAAAATCAGAATCCCCACTGGTAACAGGACATCGAAGATAAATAGCTAGTTCTGCTACATTGATATCAGCTTCACGTTCACATGCTATGTATGGAACTGAAGATTCCTTCAGAATTTCCACAAGAACATTTCTGCAAAGTCGTGGAGTTATATCGATGTTCAACTTTTCGCTATATGTTGACTCAAATTTAAGAGCTGATGACAGTATGTCAAAGTATTCCATGTTCCGCTTTAACAATGTATCCAATTTTGACCCCTTAAGAAAGCGAAAAAACTTCATTCGTTAATTTATAAAATGAATCACTGTATGTAACAAACTTGGCAAACACATATGGTTGAAGATATTTGGTGTTAAGTTCCTATTCATTCATCACATTCGATCGAGAATAATTGACAATCACTCTAAGAAATACGTCAACAAACAAAAACGTAATGATCAAATTACATCTCGAGTGGTAGTAAACATTCATTACCACGTATAGAAGCTTGAATAATACTAAATCATTGCCCGATCATGTATACACACTGCTGAAGAGTCCCATACTAGGACAAAATGGCCATCCAGTGATTCCAACATTTCAATACTGGTGGTCTAGCTTAGATTGATTCCTGAATTCAACTGTGAAAATTGTTGAATTGAATGCTTAATAATTAATTTATCATCATATGAGATTAACTTCCAGGTATACAAATGACTGAATGAACATGTTAATTTGTAGAGGTCATAATTCGAGTCTCAATGTAAAAATATAAACCGTTGGATGCCAGCTCAGTGGTCTATCGGTTAAGGGCTCTGGCTCGAGACTGGTAGGCCCTGGGTTCGAATCTCGCGAGAGTGGGATCGTGGATTAGCACTGCTGAGGAGTCCCATGATAGGACGAAACGGCCGTCCAATGATTCCAACATTTCAATACTGGTGATCTAGCTTAGATTGACTCATGGTTTCAACTGTAAAAACATAATGTTCAATGTCTTGTTGTAAAATCTTAAATACACAAAATAATCGGTGATCTTATGCAACATTAGTAAAGTGGACATTCGATGAACAAACCATAACGCTTGAAACTCAATTAGGCACTAAGGTGTACGATTATAATTTCTAAGATGCACGGATTACTTCAATCAATTATGACATCATCTTCAATCAATTATGACATCATCTTCAATAGTGATAACATCTATACTAAACAAATGCCTTAACATTTAAGTGAACTTGGAAATATGTAGGTCATTAGAAAAACAAAGTACTATGATAATGTAAGCATACCTCCTCGGGATGACATCCACCGAAAATGAAAATTGGTTCCACACGACAGATACTAAACTGTTTTAAGAATGAATGCACATATCCTTTAAATGCCAAATACTCTCCACCATATTCACATCGAAAAGCAGCTTGACGATAACAGGAAGCAGCAAAGTTCTCGGCATCAATAACTAAAGGCTGGTTATGCAATTCATACCGGGATAAGTTGTCACTGTTACTTTGAATATACGTCCACAAGCCTCGGATACCCATCTGTCCTAAAAGTTAAAACGATACTATATGAGTATTAAAATCTTTAAAGACAATAACAAAAAGGTAAGGAAGTGATAAAACATTCGCATCTAGGTATGATGCACAAAACCTGATACCTACAAAACAATTCATCAGGAAATAGATAGGTGGATAGAAATTTAATAAGGGGATAAACTAATCCCACTTATTTACTTCCTTCCCTACTTACTTACTTACGCCTGTTACAACCAATAGAGCATACATAGGTCGCCGACCAACATTCTCCAACCAACGCTGTCCTGTGCCTTCCTTCCTAGTTCTATCCAATTCTTATTCATTCTTCTCACATCTATCTCTATTTTCTCAATGTAATGTGTTCGTTGGACTTCCTCTTTTCCTTTAGCCTTCAGGATCCCATGTACAGGTTTGCCTTTTGACGCAGTTGGGTACTTTCCGCAATGTATGTCCTATCCAATTCCAGCGATTCTTCCTCCTCTGAAATCTGCATTGTTCTCTCCTACAGTAGGCTGTTGCTGATAATGTCTGACCAACAGATCCGAAGTATTTTGCGTAGACAACTGTTGATAAACACCCATATCTTATGGATGATAGCTTTCGTAGTTCTCTATGTTCTCGCCCCATACAGTAGAACTGTCTTGACTCCGTTTGTAGCCCCTCCAATGACTACTGCCGATCGATCCCAAGCCCGCATAAAGGAGGAGGGTTGAGCATGGGGTTAGCGCACTCATCTCGTAGAAAACAAACTCGATAAAAAAACGCTAACCAGGAAACGTTACTCGAAATATTTAAACCCACTTACTTGCTAATCTTTCATTTTGCCTAAACTACTTTATTTCCTTTAATAAATCCAACCACCATCTTACTCATATGCTTGGTTGCTTTCACTAGACTACAGATTTAAAATAATTTGTCATTAAAATGACTTACTTACTCAATAAACTAAATCCTGTCAATATTCCAGAAGCAACTATAACGAAAGTTTATGGATAAGATGATGATCTTGACTCTAGAGACAATCAATGAGCTACCTATCCATCTATCTATCTGCCTACCTACCTACCTACCTACCTACCTATCTATCTATCTATCTAGCTATAGTATATACAATTAAGCAGAGTTCAAATAGAAAAATATTGAATCCTCAGAATAACAATATATTTAAAAATATATACATATGGAGAGGTTACAATTCATCACGTCAAACTGCATCAACAGCATCTGTACGATAGCATTGAGAGAACAAAGAGTATTTCAGGGGAAAAGTTAAACAGGTGTCAAACATTATGCATCCACTATGTTCTATCATAGCACCATCATCAATATAAATAAAGACCAGTCAGTTGTGAATAATTTAGCATGACGCTCTTCTGTCATCAAGTCCATCATTTCCTGTAGACACACGTTATAACCAACATCACCAACAATGGAAACCTACCTCCTGAGAAAATACGAAAGGTAAAATCATCATTACAGCATGACAACACTGATTAGTTAGTAAGTAAGAGAATTTAACATGGAAACTATGATATCTGTTACTGTTATGTCTGCAGCTACGCTTTGCTCATCGTACTCAAAACTGCAAATACGACAACGAGTAATGCGAAAACACTGATGATAAGTATTTACTTCACTCCATCAAAATGTTATATGCATACACAACTTTCTCTATCATTTATCTACAGCCAAGTTGGCAATCACACTTGTAGTAGTATTTAACATTAATTCATCAATATCATCAGTAAGACAACCTGTGGAGATTGTAGTATTTCAACAGTAGAATTCAGGAGTCGATTTAAGCCACAACACCATTGGGAACTTGCAAGCACTGGACGCCCTTTCATACTAGTATGCAACTCATCAGCAGCGCTCATTCTTCATCCAGGAATTGGAATTCTAACTCAAGACATTTCATCTAGATTAGATCGACACGTGAGTTCAACTGTGAAAATAATCAATATCATACTGGTCGATTTTCACATTCACTGGATTTTGCTCTTTTTACACTGTCACGTCAGAAATTATAACCCTCAAAAAACGACTACAAACAGAATACTGATTATGTCAAATTTTAGCGTGATACACCATAACATGAATATCTCTTCAGCCGAACATTACCAGGATCAGATATGAGATTGTTTTGAAACATATTTCACGCTACAATAAATATCAAATAACCGTGAGGATTTAGTGGCCTCGAGATCTCATCTTAATTAGGTCGGATGAATGTTTTTATCGAATGATTCCAGTCGAAATATACATCCTGGATACCTTCGCATAGAATTGCCGAATTAACCCACCAACTCAGTAAATAACAGAGTTAAATTTAAATAACTCAAATATCAGAATGGATTTTTGAATACGAATATTTCGTGCAATCGCTGATCGGAAAGCGAAGCTTCACAAGAAGACGATGCACAAAAGGGAAGGAGAGTAGTTGGTCAACTCAATTTAACCAACCGTGAATCGTTATTGGTGGTCACAAAAAAATAAGTTACACATATGTGATGGATAAAATAGGAAATGCACGCAAATACACTTACGTAAAAAACAGTCCGTCAGTCAACTACAACATTGGACCAGGAACATATATGCATCGGTTCAAGTTGCCATACCTCGTTCGCACAAAACGATAAACACCGGATTCATAGAAACAGTTAATTTAGTCGATGAAGATTCATACCCTGTGTCTAACCTCACTATTACTTACCCGGTGATCCAAGCAGATGCGAGCAATATTTCTAAGACATCTGTGGTCAAATACTAGTAACTTACGAGTATCTTCTACTCTTAATGGCCATATTTCACAGCCATAGGTGACATAAGTTGGCAAAAGCCAAACAAGCTTTTTGATTCCGTGCTGAGATCTCGTCAGACACCAACCCATTAGGGCTGATCAGACTTCCAAGATAGGTGAAGTTGTCGACGCGTTCGACTACTTCACTCACTATCATTCGTTCACGTGTTGACGCAGGCTAGTCCAAGAGTAACAATTTACATTTACAGGGGGAGAAACACATAAAAAATCAATAAAAAAAACAGTCAACATTGATAAGACAACAATTAAAAAGACCAAAATGTGACTCAAGGAAAATGAAATTATTGGCTTGTCCAGAAGCTCGAACGACCCATGTGGGCTTGACATTACAACCGACACTACCAAGTATCTGTACCACGATGTTGCCATCTCGTTTCCTATAATTAATAAATCAGTCACACTTCATGTTACATTACGTGTTTTCACTTAACGACCAATAACATCATATGGTTTATCTTGTTTATTTAACGTGTGCTGTATTTAAGCTAAAACAATTGGGATCGAAGCTACTTATTCAGTGAGTTGAATAAATGAATAAATAGTTAGTTTCAGATTCACAATGTCACATGTCCAACTAAAAATAAACAGCTAGAAATAAGTCTTCTCAGTCGATGTATCTATATTCTGGCGTATTATTACCAGTTACAATCCTTTCTATGACATCACTATATCGATTGAGGTAATATTTACAGAATCTCCAAAAGCGTGGAGTCAATTAATCCGTTGCTCCAAGGGCACCCATTTAGCGTTCTAATGATCTTTAAAAATGTTCATCGGTAAGTGAGATATCAATTGTCATGAACAAATTGGTTCCAAGTGACTTGCACAAACAGGCGATAGACTGTCTTGACTATCGTCATCAGATCAAGTATTCCTTGTAAATGTGTTCTGATAATTCAATCATCAGCATCCTTACAATATGTTGAATACAATGAGCTGGGATTAACTATCATTTGTCTAAAGATCACAAGAAATCTAGTCTTTACTATTCCATCGTTAATTGAATATTTGAAGAGACTGTTTGATGTCTTGCTATTACAACAGGCAGTCAACTAACCTTCAATTCAACTCGATCTTACATACATCATTCGTTGGAATATTGGATATAGCTAATTTACTAACCACAAATCTAAATGATTTTACAGAACATCAAATCATCACTCAAAATCAAAACATATACACATTGAAATGGAACATAAACCACCAAACATCCACTTCATCAGTTCCCTTTCTTTATGGAACTCAGTCAATAAAATAGAGCTAAACTACCTTCAATAGTTCTACTCCATTCAACGTTACATTCATTTTATTGTTATGCACAGTATAAATCCAACGGTAGAAAACATCATGTTGGAGATCCGCCATCAAATGAATAAGAAGATATAAGAGACTTTCTCAGTATTCATATGTAAACTAAATCAGTTCAGTTACATAATCATGCACTTCAGTATTGAACTTGATATGGGGTACTTGTTAGAAAGACTGTCTACTTAAATAATTAACATACCGTAGTATTAAGTCCATTATATGGAATCATATAAAACCAGTAGATTAAACCTTGTGGTGAACAGAAGTAGTTTAACAGAATTTCACAGGCTGCATAATCGACAACCATCCATGACAGTCATAATACTACATCTTGGAAATTAACATGAAATAGTAAGGAATCCACCTAACTTCATAGTGTTACTGGAGAAGTTCATCAAGGGAATGTTGCAAATGACATGCCATAGACATGAAAGGTTTCCAAAAACGAAATAATTTGTATATTGATTCATTATTTATAAATGTTCTAAACCGAAGTTATGAGGCAATAAAACAATTCCATTTGAGAATGATATGTTCACCACTTCAATTGCAACACTTCTCTCACTACTTTTCTGGTACACTACACCATACTACTTTTCAATACTCAGTAGTATCGGTTATTCACAAACATATAACTAACGATTTATTGTCTTACACGGTTGAGTTCCTTCATCACACACAACCGTTCAATTGTACTCTTATTTCAACACATCTTTTCTTTTTTAAACAATAGACGACAATGATGGTCTATTCATCGCTTTCTCTGCATTGTATGAAGCATTCTTTCGAAATCCAGTCACTTTCACCTAATGGATTAGTCAGAAAACATTGTTCAACTTACCTTCGTTCATTCTTGATAATCCCATTTCACACATACATATGCTAAACATCGATGAATATCCACTTATATGAGGGAATCAATTCCCATCCAACTATGGTTTCTGTCATTAAATTGAATTCAATACATCTCACAATTAACAGTTGAGAAACTTCAGTATTTATACACTCTTCGAAAACTACCATACATCCATACAAATCTTAGTTTATGATTCCAGATCTCATATAACGAGGTCATCCTCGGACGGATTCCACACAGTAGTCAAAATACGTTAACCCGATAAACATAAGCAAAATATGGTCTACTTGCATTACTGAATATAAGCGAAATCTAATCTTACCGAAATTTTATGAAGAATTCCAAAACAATGGAGAATTGAGAGATTTAATAAGTAATGACAAAATTACTGGAAAACAAATACAGAGAGGAACGGTGGCTACCAGTGGAACCCACGAAGCACATTTAGTCCTATTTCTGACTTGCCAGATGGATGTAATTGCATCCCGGAGTTGATGTTCACTCTCGAATTCGAACCCGGTACCGTCTTCATCAATGATAATCGCGTTTGGGCTTACTAGCTAATTAGATA